TCATTGCATTGGATTCAGGGTTCTTTGTGGGACCTGTGGCAGTCATCAAAGCACAGGGGGTCAATCGATTGCACAGCAAATCCCGAACGGGACCCATGAGCCTTTGTTTTGAGCACCCCACAGAGATTACTTGTCTGAGAAGCCGAAGCCTCAAACCTCAGAGCAGAACATTCCCTTGCAGCAGAAGCGCTGCGAGGTTCAACCAAAATATGGCCATGGGTCAAAAGCCAAATCGTACCCCCAGTGAACATCCAAATCCAACCACTAAAGTAGGAAACTTAAAATGGGTGGTGAATTCACCGAAAACCCCAAGATGGGATCAGCCAACACGGTTTTGACCACCACCAAAACGTGTGCGATCAGCATAAAGCTCCGCTGGGCGCTTGCAGGAGAGCTCCGGTTCCGAAGGCGAAGGCTTCCGAGACCTGGGGGGGGGGCCGGGGGGTTGGCTGGTCACCGGTCACCTTGCGCCTTCCCAAGGTACCACAAAAGCTGTGGGGGACCCACGGCTTGCTGGAAGATTCCGGCGGTGTTTTTTTTCTCAGTGTGGAACAACGGACGCCAAGGGCTCCGGAAGAGCAGGATCTTCTTGAAGGATATCTTACCATCCAGATACACTAAGCACATGTCGAGGCTGCTAACAGGTTGCCTTTCTAATATTGGGTGTCTTTGTTGTATTTGTCAGGTCGAGCGACCCGCAACAAGCAATGATTGCTGGAGGCATTTCGGTTTGCTTGGCACCCAACCGATTATCGCAAGTGACTTGTCGGGCATCCAGAACTAATTATAGTTGCCTTTCAATTTGTAGCCAATCATGTCTAAGGCTGGTCTCCAAATGCGGAATCCGGACCAAACGGGTGGTTTACTTTTAGTTTCCCTCAGCCACACCCCCGAACATTGTACCGTCAAATCGAAGGAGCGCCCAGAATTTCTCTTTCGTGCGCGCGCGCGTTCGGTGGTTGCACGAGGCCGGCAGGACGGGGCCCTGGATGAGAGAGGGTGAGAGGTGAGTCGAGGCATAGGAGGGCCGCTTATGCAAAATTCGCATGATTTCCAGCGCAGTGGTGGATAGCTTTTGGATTGTAAAAAAGGCCCATGGTTGGCTCCTTCTGCTTTGGTTCAGGATTCCAGGATGGGATGGAATGTGATGTGGGAGATTTGAAGGCTTTCCTAGCAGTGCATCAAAGACACTGAGAATCACAGTGCTTTTCTTGGGCACTACGCCCCCTTGGAGCTCTTGGACTCCGCCCAATTCTGCAGGGAACCGCTGAACTTGCCATGAGTCTAACCGGGGACCCCAAAATGGGTTTCCCTTGGGCTTCGGGTCAAGCAACCCCGAAACAGGTAGCATCAACGCAAATCAACAACAGCCAAACCCAAAATCGAGCCTAGACCCCAGATAGCGAGAAACAGGCCAATGATTGCATGCCAGCACCTCGAACAGCACACCCTGAGCACCCGGCCGTCAATCTCACCAGCCTCAAGCAGCACCCCAATCCCAAAAAACATGCAACGAACAAGGTAGCCTCAAAACAGTCAAAGCACAAATCAGGCGCAACATCTTTTCAAAGGCCGACGGGGCATCTCCCCCCCCCCCTCCCTTGCCCCCTCCACCCGAGGCCTCGCGGCACTTCTGCGGCTCGATCTGGAGCAGGGCCGCGGCCTGAGTTCCGAATTGGAATGAGCCGCGCCCCGAAACCGATTCTTGTTGGCCATGGTGGAGAGTTCTACTCCAATTTCATGGGGGTTAGGCCTAAACCTTCATGGCCGTTTTGGTGGAACCCAAAGTGAACTGGGTTTGGGCACGGGCACTGCTCAACTGACAATGGCGGAACCCACATTTCCCACCCATGTAGCCTGTGACTGGGGGGCTGATGCACGCTTGGCTTGGAGCTCAAAGTATGTTGGAACGTGTTGTTAGTCAACCTGCGCCCACTAGCAGTACCATATCCAGGTTTTTAGCAGGTGCAAGCGGTAATATGCTATATACAAGTACACTGCAACCCTCCATGGATGCCCCCCCCCGCCCCCAACAGGCACACAAAACTAATGCAACTCCCTGACCCGACCAGCAGAAGTATCATGAACCCGTCATAACCATGTCTGCGGCTACCCTGTTTTTACCGCTGCTCAGAGCTCGGCGCGAAGCCAAGAAGCTCACTTTAGGCAACACTGAACAAGTTGCATGACTTTGTGGGCCAGCTTACCACCGGATGACCGCAAGTCCTTGCCAGCGCGTGGCTATGCCAGAAGTCAACCAGCCTGCTTCTGAGCGGTGTTACATTTGCGGGCACAAGTTGTAGGTATTGATGCCAGAAGCAAACACAAATATGTTGCGTCGTGTGTGATTGTTACCGCATTCTTCAAGCATAGTTTGATTGCAACTTAGTTTGTCGTTGCTATTTCTATGATGGGTTGCCAAGCCGGTGTGGCGCATCCATAGATAATGCTACGATGCAGCGTGCCACTGCTTCTACAGTCATGTGGCATTGTTTTGTTCAAATCCGCGCAGGATTTGCTGCACATACCAGGGTCGAGGCCGTCCTTCAGCAGAACCAACACAGTCAGAGAACTTGTGATGGCTGAAGTTGGTGACAAAAAAGCTGCTCGAAGACCATCATATTTTTGGCAGCATGACTCAATCCCTGGGCCTTTTTGAATCCCAAAGAACGTCTCTTTGGTTCCTTCAACAAGCCAGGGCTTCTGATACTTTAGAGCCTCCGGCTCAGTCCGCCGACATTGTCCTCTCCCTTTTCTCCTTCTTCCTCTCTCCCTTGTCTCCCTGGTGTGTTCTGTCGTCCTTTCTCCCTCCCTCCGCTCCCCATCCTCCCCATCCCCCGAAGCCACTCTCTCCCCAGTCTCCCTCTCTCGTATGTATGTATGTATGTATGTAGGCATGTATATATGTATGTATGTAATGTATGTATGTATGTAAGTATGTATGCATGTATGTATGTATGTATTTATGTATGTATGTAAGGTAGGTAGGTAGGTAGGTATGTATGTATGTATGTATGTATGTATGTAATGTATGTATGTATGTATGTATGTATGTATGTATGTATGTATGTATGTATGTATGTATGTATGTATGTATGTATGTATGTATGTATGTATGTATGTATGTATGTATGTATGTATGTATGTATGTATGTATGTATGTATGTATGTATGTATGTATGTATGTAATGTATGTATGTATGTATGTATGTATGTATGTATGTATGTATGTATGTATGTATGTATGTATGTATGTATGTATGTATGTATGTATGTATGTATGTATGTATGTATGTATGTATGTATGTATGTATGTATGTATGTATGTATGTATGTATGTATGTATGTATGTATGTATGTATGTATGTATGTATGTATGTATGTATGTATGTATGTATGTATGTATGTATGTATGTATGTATGTAATGTATGTATGTATGTATGTATGTAATGTATGTATGTATGTATGTATGTATGTATGTATGTATGTATGTATGTATGTATGTATGTATGTATGTATGTATGTATGTATGTATGTATGTATGTATGTATGTATGTATGTATGTATGTATGTATGTATGTATGTATGTATGTATGTATGTATGTATGTGTGTATGTAATGTATGTATGTATGTATGTAATGTATGTATGTATGTATGTATGTATGTATGTATGTATGTATGTATGTATGTATGTATGTATGTATGTATGTATGTATGTATGTATGTATGTATGTATGTATGTATGTATGTATGTATGTATGTATGTATGTATGTATGTATGTATGTATGTATGTATGTATGTATGTATGTATGTATGTATGTATGTATGTATGCAATGCATGTATATATGTATGTATGTATGTATGTATGTATGTATGTATGTATGCATGTATTCATGTAATGTATGTATGTATGTATGTAATGCATGTATGCATGTATGTATGTATTGTATGTATGTATGCATGTATGTACATATGTATGTATGTATGTAATGTCATGTAGTGTAATGTAAAGTAATGTAATGTAATGTATGTATGTAATGTAATGTAATGTAATGTAATGTAATGTAATGTAATGTAATGTAATGTAATGTAATGTAATGTAATGTAATGTAAGTATGTATGTATGTATGCATGTAATGTATGTATGTATGTAGGTCTGTCTGTCTGTCTGTATGTATGTCTGTATGCATGTATGTATGTATCCTTGCACTTCCCCTTGGCTCCCCAGTATTTCCCGCAAAATACACGGTTTTTCTAGCGTTTTCGCAAAGAGGATGTCCAAAAACACAGAGTTTTGCCAGATTTTCGGCAAAAGGATGCAGGAAGCCCAAGCCAGCAAAAAAGCCGGCAGGGGGAATCGAGCCTGGGACCCCTGTTTTGCGACACCGGCTCCCCGAAGACTACGTTTAGTGGAACGTCATCAAATTGCCGCGCACGGCTGGGGACCCCCCCCCCCCCCTCCCCCTCCCCCCCCTCCCTCCCCTCCCCCTCCCCCCCTCCCCCCCCCCCTCCCCCTCCCCCCTCCTCCCCCCCCCCCCCAAAAACCTACGTAATAGACGTCGGGCGGGGGGGGGGTTAGGGGGGGGGGTTATCCTCTATCCTCTCTTAGGTATCCGACACGCCGAGCAATGTCGGCGGATTTGCCCTAAAAGAAGCTGCCAAAAAGGTCCTTTCGAGACTACCCGACTCGTGTGAAGGTAGCCTCTGTCCATGTCATCCGCGCACGCCGGACAAAGTGCGGTCTTTGTGAACCTTCCGATATTCGAAGCCACCAGAACAAGCAACATTTGGCTATAGGTCAAAACTCCGGGTAGTCCCCAGTGAACATCCATCCCCACCAAAATAGGTTCTCAAATGGGTAAAACCCCTTACCCCCAGTGAACATCCCAATCCAACCGCTAAAATAGGAAGTTTAAAATGGGTGGCGCACCTACCCCAAAATGGTTTTGACCCATGGCCAGGGACACCTTCCAGTCCCCGAGCTCAGGTGCACCACATGACCTTCGAGCTCGATGCGACCTCGCCCCGCGAGGGCGAAGCCGCGAAGGCTGAGGACGAGTTGCTGGTTCGATGGGCACGTGAGTTGGGATGACCTCATATGGCCATGGGTCACCAATTTCATACCAAGAAACATCCCAATCCAACCACTGAAATAGGAAACCTAAAATGGGTGGTGAATTCACACCCCAGAATGGTACCATGGGTTTTTACCCACAGCCATAACCTCATCTAGGTCCCCCAGCTAGGTGCCCTGTTTCCGTTTCTTTTTTGGGCGAGGGTTCCCCTACTAAAATAGACTACAGATAAAAAGGGTAGCCTTATTCGAAGCTCTCTGCTGGAGGACCTAGTCATATACACCATCCCTGTGGCTTTCTAGGTGATCCCTCGGTTTATTCCCAAAGCCCCAGTTGATCACCTGAGAACCACTAAGAGTTTTCCCCAGTGGTTTAGTACCCCTTGAAAACTCCCCCTTTTTTCATTTGATGGGTTTGCCACTAAAAATTGCCAACTCCAGAAAAGGTCTCCTTTGTTCTCATGGGGTCAACGAGAGAATTTGTGTTGCCTTGTTGTGCGCAGCGGAGGCTCCGCACAAGCAAACCTGGTGGGGTGAAGGATCGCACCACTTCAAGAAGATGCAGCGTAGGCAGGTTCGCGTAGGCGTGCTTTGCGATATCCAGTCCAGGCAGGCGGTCGCGTCCGCGCACATTTTGAGGAAGAAAGGCCCGCGCAGGCAGCCTTCCACGTGTTAGACGGGCTGAGGCATCTGTGTAGGCATGCTTTCAGTGATGATGATTGTTTATTTTATTTTGATTTTTTATGTACCCAAAAAATCAACGCTACCCAACTGGGAAGCGGGGCTTCTGGGTTCCCATTGGCGGCCGCCCCAACGGCTGGTGTTCTGTTTGTCAGGTTTCACAAAAGAAACATTTTGGAGGCGCTCGTGTTTGCAAGTTGCATGCTGGGTGCAGTAAGAACTTGCTTTCCAGTCGATGGGGCACAATGAATAAGCCTTGGATTGCAGTGCTTGGATGATTGCAAGGTCTGCGCTCGGACGCAATCAGATGTCCAGCCAAGCACTTGCAGCCCTGGATTTTCTCGTCAGGAGCCCCAAGTGGATCCGCCGGTGATGATGGTGTCCTCTGACATGGAGTGGCTCGCCCGAGATCCCAGTGAAGGACTTGGATCCGTTGCGGGCAGCTTTCCCATCGCCGCCCAAACGCAAACACCTGGAAGTCCACAGCGCCAACAGCATGAAGGCTCTCCACATGGGGCTGAAAACCGGCGCCGAGGGGTCCAAATTAAATCACCAGGGGACCGCAGGTTTTAGTCCATGTTTCCATCTACCTGAGACAATTGGTTTGTATTTGACCGAGTTGTTGGGGACCGGGGACAAAGGGCCGTTTTCGACTTTTCGACCGGGTGAGACATGTTGCCCTCCCGACCCAGAATACCCTTAAAATAGATAGATGGCTGAGAAATGCACGGGGGTGGGTAGCGGCACCTACCGGCCTTTCTGGCGGAATGAATAAGAAGCCACCCGTGCAGAAACCTTCAATTACAAGATTTGATGGTATGAGCTATGTGACTATCTGAGTATTTTTTTGTTTTCGTGTTTTGTGCTCTCTTCTGATCTTACTGACTTGTTCCTTGTCCGATTGCACTGCTTTCACAGGGACTCCTGGACTCCGGGACTGCCACAGGGTGCTTCAGTCTTACGCTGAAACCTAGGTCAGTTTGATTGCCTTGGTCCAACATCTGTAGATGTTCCTCTTCCAATCCCATTTCTGCCTTCAAGGTGGCTCATGTCCCGACTTTTGAGTTGATCTTCAGCCGGGTTGTCAACCGACCCTCAACAAATGGCCGTGGGTCAAAACCAATGGTACCATTTTGGGGTCGGGCGCACCACCCATTCTAGAACCTATTTTAGTGGGGATTGGGATGTTCACTGGGGGCTAACCGGGATTTTGACCCCATGCCAAATGACCAAACCACAAATGACCAAGCCCCACTGGTGGACACCTGGTGCTGGAGGTGCAGTGCCACCTGCGGGTGAAGCCCACCATCGACGGCGTTTGCGGCGGAGGCCCCGTGCGGCGCTCTGTTCGGAAACCCAAACTGAAGGAAAAGCCGTACCCTTTTCGGGGGTCATACCCTTTTCGGGGGTCCAAATCCCAATTTTGGTACTCGGGTGTGTGTGTGTGTGTTGGAGTGCAATAAGGTGAAAGCCGTCCGAAGCGAAGGTGAGTCTTTAAATCGAGAGATTCCCATTGTGCATTTGGCGAGGAGGTGGGGAAACGAAGGCCAGACGAACCCTAAAACGAAGCCTTTTTTCACGACGATTTGGTATGAGAAGCAACCGGAAGACTACTACGGGAAAGCTGCAGGAATACTACATCAAAAACTGGGAGAAGACTACGGAAAGACTACCGCAAAGCTACGGGAAGACTGCTGGAAGACTACGGGAAGACTGCGGGAAGACCACGGCAAGAGATTACAAGATTACAGGACCAAAGCCCCCCTAAAAAAGAAGGCGAGTCTTTAAGACGAAGGATCCCAGTTTGGCACATGCGGCTCACATACCCACTTTGGGATTCGACTTGGTTGGATTCCTTGAACCTCCAGCGAAATTCTGGGGGATCGATGCCATTGAGTAGATGAGACAACTTCGCCTAAGCAACCTTCGGCGGAGCCCGCGTTAACCGATGACACTTTCTTGATGGCGCATTGCTACAGCACTCTATGTGCCACTTGATGTGGGAAGTGCTCCGACCCTTGCCCTAAACTAATTGGTACTCTTCAGTCGTGTAGCGGCCCCGCGTGCCGCAGCAAAGCATGTTTGTTGGCAACATGCTCCTCTTGTGTTGCGACCAATTGAGCCCAAAAGGACCAAGCATGCCATGACCTACTGTGAACCAATCAATCCCGCCAGGCAGGGTTTGAGTTTCTCCAATCATTGTTATTTAGGGTAATTGTCCAACATTGTATTGACATAGTGTTGGAAACTGAGTTGTTCAACCATGTGTTCTTTGGTTCCCAGTTGGTCCCAACCCTCCCAGGACAAACAGGTTTTTGAGACGGTCCGAAGTGAGTTGCTCAATTCGCGGACAAAAACAACAAAACCGCCAGGTGCTGCCTCGGCCCGGGGCCTGAATCGGGAAACCGAGGGAGGGAATGCGACCCAGGCAGGCCTTTTCTTCTGACTGTGCCAAAACAGGGCGACTGTTCCAGACTGGCAAACAGCAAGTTTCACTTCCGTTTGGGGGCCTCGGGATGTTTGCGCGGCAAGTCTTTCTTTGAGTTCCCAAGAAGCGCTCATGTTGATTCCAGCAACCAAGCAGAGAGATACATCTTACACAATAGTGAGAGAACTTTGCAGTGGAAGCATCAGTTTGAGCCTTGGACAAAACCGATCCTTTGCTTTCTTAGGATGCTGCCGGCAGCGGCGATCATGAGGTGCGGTCTCCCGAGGGTTTGTCGACGAGATGGGCAGAAGGAAACTCTGACTCGTGAAGACAAAACCAGAACTGACATTTGCATTCATAATACATATGTATATATATATATACACAGGGATGGCAGTAGGACACTTGCTGTAACGACAGTTGGGGAGAGGCACGCCTTGCATGACACTGCGAAACTGACAGGCGCGCATCAATTGATTTTTCTCACCGAACTTCGGCTCAATCAGCCGACCACAAATAGCAGCGCGTCTTGGTCAGGACCGATAATTCGTTGTTTCCATGCTCCAAGCCCATCGAACAATCTCGGGGCCTGGGAGTTGCGAAGAAGCATGAAGCGACACATCACGGCCTGTCTTTGCAGCTTGAAGATGCATTTCCCCAAATACTTGTTTCTCTATGTTCAAGCGCCCCACGTCATAGGCATACTTGCAAACCCTGCACAGCAAGTCCGCTGGTTGCTCACAGGCGGAGGCGGATTAGACGGCGTGGCACAGCTTTGCGAGTCATGCTTTGAACAATGCCTGCTGTGAACTGTCACACACTACCCGCTGGGTCGGTTTCCGCGCTGCGCGGCGTGCTTGTTAGGCGAAACTGTTAGTCAAGTCCAACCCAGAACTCTGTCGCGTAGACAACAAGGTAGGCACAGCGAAATGATACACTCGGCAACAAGACACCGAGGCTTTCGCCGCAGCTGCACGCTCGGTTTTCGAGCGGCATGCACAAAGTGGACAATCAAACATTATGCGCGGATATGCTTCTTGACCAGGTATCGAATTTGTTGTAAACGCTGCGTGCTGCCCGCCACGAATTGCATTGCCTTTACTGCGTACGGGCTGCAAGACTGAACCAACAGAGTAATGCGGGCTTTGGCAAATGATGCGCCTAAGGGCCAAGGCTACAGATGATCATGCCTTGCTCCGAAGCGAATTTTCTAAGGTTGCTTTGGGATGCTTCGAGTCGTGGCTACAGCGACCACTGCATGCAGGAATTCTCCGCTTGGGAGCATAAACAATTCAGGTAATGAAGGGCGTGGCGCGATAGAGAGAGAGAGAGAGAGAGAATTCGGGGGCTCTAATCTATCAGAAAGATTTGCTAGGATTCGGCGAAACATCACTAAAACTCTGCAATTTTCCACACCCCCAAGTTGCCTTGGATTTTTTTTTGTCCCGGCACCCACCCCATTTCAACGGGTTTTCCGTGCAGACTGCGGCGACCATGCTGAAGCTGCTGTCCGCCTTTCACAACATCTCCCTGTACTCCCGAGGGATGGAGGTGGAGGGCTCGGCTGTGCCGCTCGCAGGTTTAGGTAGCTGTGTAGCCGACCTCCAATGGCTTGATTGGGGATCGGAGGGGCGGAGACGTGCACCTTTCGTGAACACATTCACGAAAATATATACATGTTTGCCGAAACCGAAGAAGCGACAGCTCACGGACAGTTGGCTTACGGCCCTCCAAAGGGAACGGGGTAGGACACATCCATACTAGATGCACACACGTCCCTGCTTTTGTCACCAAGGACTTGCGTAGTGTCAGATGCTTCTGCTCACCTCAAGAAACCCGCCCCGATCAATGACCATGTGTTTCAGGCGGATGCCAACTCCGACGACTTCTTTTGCAACGCTCTCACGTGCAGCCGGCATGCAGATTTTGCCCCAGTGCTTCGCGGGTGGTTGCGCACCTGTCTGTGTGTGTGTGTGGGTGTGTGTGTGTCTCTGTGTTTGTGTCTGTGTGTGTGTGTGTGAGTGGGTGTGTCAGTGGCATTTGTTGAATGAGGTGCTGTCTGCTCTCCCTTTCTGTGAGACAGCATGTTTGTGTTTCTTTCCAAAAAGACATGCCACACACTTCAATTTGTGGCCTCGGCAGTTGGGGTTTCGGATTTGATTCACGGCAAGGTGCCGATGTACATCGCCTCTGCGTTCTTGTTCTCATTGCTCGCTTGTTCTGTGTTGTTTTTTTCAGGCGGCTCAATCAGCAGAGGTGTGACTGATGCAACGCCGGCAGCTGGCTCAAAGTTGTGCTTCTCCAATGGCGTGGCCACACTCTGAAGCTTAGGCCTCGTCGCGCAGATGAATTGAGGAATGTTTCAACTGGAATCTAGCAGCTCACAGCAATATGTTGAGCTGAGCGCACCCTTCATCACCTTCAGAGCATGATAAGCCTCGTCTCTCCGGCTCTCTTATGGACAACTGCTGCACGCCAGACATGTTTTGAAGCAGTTCCATTGGAGTATGGCAGCCTCAGCATGCGGAAGTCCGTTTCGTCCATCGGCTGCACGCTGCCATGCGGGTGAACCTCACCTTCACTGCCCCCTGGGCCAACCGCAGCTGCGACCTGGATCTCCAGATCGGCCCGGAGGCCATGAAGTTTTGGTTGCCACGGCGCGGTGTTGACCATGTTCGTCTTGTCGCGGGGAAGCACACACACACACACACACCGAATGCGGTCCAAAAGTTTCCAGACCCCACTTCGGCGAGCGTGTGAGTGTGTCTTTTCGAGCACCTATGGTTTGGTGGTTGAAAGGGAAATCGAATAGGAAGAAAACACCGTTCCGGGAGCTTCTTCCGATTTTGACGCCACGCCCATCTGCTATGCCTTTCGGGAGCTTCCCGATTTGAGGCGATCCGCGTGGGAGCCGAAGGCCAAGCTGACGGCCAAGCCGACGGCTTCCAGGAGCACCGCCTAGGTGGCGCCGGGAGCTACGAGCGACTCGGGGAGAAGCTGACCGGGGAAGGTTCCGGGGACTCCAGTTATGAGATGAGGCCAGGGCTCCCTTCTTTTCCCTTGGCACCAGCAAGGGCCCATTTTTTCCCCAACGTGAGTTGTTTCTTGGTAGAGGTGAGGTTGTTTTTGGAAACATTGTAAGAAGCCAGGTCACGGTTTACCAATGTTTTTCCCCAAAAAGGTGTCCTTTTCTGCCAGGGTCATAGGGCCACTACCAGGCGAGTAGGCGTTACCCTCTCCCATGTTGCCATGAAGCCTGATTGATTCTAGTCGTTCATTTTTCGCTAAAGGAAACCCTCTGGTGGGTTGCATGTGTGTGTTGGTCACAGGGTACCACTGACAAGGTAGCCAGCTTGTCGGTTTGTTTGCGTCAGGTTTGCCTGGTGGGTTGCCCGGGTGACCTATACTATAGATGGCATGCCGCTGTTTCCTCAATTGGGAGAGCCATGCACATGCAGCATGTATACACATGTCCCTTTGCCATCATCCACGACCAGAGGGTGTATTTGAGGAGGCGCCTGTTTGAAAAGCAGTGCCACACCCTTCGATTCGCAGACAACCTCCTTTTCAGCTATCGCCCAGCAGGGGCAGTGAGCTCCCACCCAACCACCCAACCAATCGACTAACCAATCGCCATCCAATCAATCAACTAACCAACCACCCCCCCAGCCAATCAACCAATCAACTAACCAACCAACCACCCAGCCAATCAACCAATGAACTAACCAACCAACCACCCAGCCAATCAACCAATCAACTAACCAACCAACCACCCAGCCAATCAACCAACCAACCACCCAGCCAATCAACCAACCAACCACCCAGCCAATCAACCAATCAACTAACCAACCAACCACCCAGCCAAGCAACCAATCAACTAACCAACCACCCACCCAGCCAATCAACCAACCAACCACCCAGCCAATCAACCAACCAACCACCCAGCCAATCAACCAACCAACCACCCAGCCAATCAACCAATCAACCAACCAACCAACCACCCAGCCAATCAACCAATCAACTAACCAACCACCCACCCAGCCAATCAACCACCCAGCCAATCAACCAATCAACTAACCAACCAACCACCCAGCCAATCAACCAATCAACCAATCAACTAACCAACCAACCACCCAGCCAATCAACCAACCAACCAACCACCCAGCCAATCAACCAACCAACCACCCAGCCAATCAACCAATCAACTAACCAACCAACCACCCAGCCAATCAACCAATCAACTAACCAACCACCCACCCAGCCAATCAACCAACCAACCACCCAGCCAATCAACCAACCAACCACCCAGCCAATCAACCAATCAACTAACCAACCACCCACCCAGACAATCAACCAACCAACCACCCAGCCAATCAACCAACCAACCACCCAGCCAATCAACCAATCAACTAACCAACCAACCACCCAGCCGATCAACCAATCAACTAACCAACCACCCACCCAGCCAATCAACCAACCAACGACCCAGCCAATCAACCAATCAACTAACCAACCACCCACCCAGCCAATCAACCAACCAACCACCCAGCCAATCAACCAACCAACCACCCAGCCAATCAACCAATCAACTAACCAACCACCCACCCAGACAATCAACCAACCAACCACCCAGCCAATCAACCAACCAACCACCCAGCCAATCAACCAATCAACTAACCAACCAACCACCCAGCCGATCAACCAATCAACTAACCAACCACCCACCCAGCCAATCAACCAACCAACGACCCAGCCAATCAACCAATCAACTAACCAACCAGCCAATCAACCAGCCAATCAACCAACCAACCACCCAGCCAATCAACCAATCAACTAACCACCCAGCCAATCAACCAACCAACCACCCAGCCAATCAACCAACCAACCACCCAGCCACCCATCCAACCAACCAGCCATCAACCAACCAACCAGCCAATCAACCAACCAACCACCCAGCCAGCCAATCAACCAATCAACTAACCAACCAACCACCCAGCCAATCAACCAACCAACCACCCAGCCAATCAACCAACCAACCACCCAGCCAATCAACCAACCAACCACCCAGCCAATCAACCAACCAACCACCCAGCCACCCAACCAACCAACCACCCAGCCAATCAACCAACCAACCACCCAGCCAACCACCCAGCCAATCAACCAACCAACCACCCAGCCAATCAACCAACCAACCACCCAGCCACCCAACCAACCAACCACCCAGCCAATCAACCAACCAACCACCCAGCCAACCACCCAGCCAATCAACCAACCAACCACCCAGCCAATCAACCAACCAACCATCCAGCCAATCAACCAACCAACCACCCAGCCAATCAACCAATCAACTAACCAACCACCCACCCAGCCAATCAACCAACCAACCACCCAGCCAATCAACCAACCAACCATCCAGCCACCCAACCAACCAACCACCCAGCCAATCAACCAACCAACTAACCAACCACCCAGCCACCCAATCAATCAACCAACCAAGCAACCACCCAACGATTTCAGGCTTCTGGTGCCCGAGACTGGGCTGGTGGTCCACCTGCCCGGCCCCGCGCAGCCAGCGGCGCCGGCGCGGTGGAAGTCTGGGCAGCTCGAGGCCGGGAAGGTCTGCGTCTTCTGTGTGCATGTGTGTGTGTGTGTGTGTGTGTGCAGCTGCGCGGGTGGGCAAAGATCGGACCCCTCTGCCACAACGGCTTTCTCGTGTTTGTGTGTGCGCGGTGGGTGTCAGGACTCACACGACCTGAATGAGAGTGTGTGGATTTTCAGCCAGTGCTCAGCACCGTGCTCGCCGCAATGTCATTTTTGCGTGCGAAAGGGCCACGCCGCCAACACAAAAGCTCCTGAGGTCTGCCTGCAGCTGTCGGAAACTCGGCGCCCCACGGCCGTGGCAGAGGCCGGGAAGAGTCCAAGGCAGATGGGAGGTAGTCTTGCACCGAGGTCGAGTTCAACAAACAGATTCCAGCAGTAAGGCGGCCTATTCCAGTAAGGTGCTCGTAGCATACTCCAATTGAGGTCAGAACTTCAACGAGCTGTTTCGCCTCGCAGTGTGAGGTAGGAATCGCTTGCCTGCAAACGCAACACATGAGTCGTGCGAATAGCTGGAAAGGCTTCGGCCTGTTGCAGGGAGACTCCCTCAAGATCGGGAAGAAGGGGTTTGCTCGGTCCAGGAGAGTGTTTGCCTCAGAAGCGAGAAGATTCCTCCGCTTAGCTCACAAGGAAGACTCCTGGCTACATGTCCAGAGCGCCAACAAGATTGAACAGCATGTTCAAGCTTGACCAGCATCGGGTTTTGTCTTCCACCTAGCCAGCATAGTGTTGCCAACGTGTTGTTGGGTCACAAACCCCTCAACCTGTAAGCAACGCAATGTATTGATCCGAGCAAGCTGGGCACTCTTGAGCCGCTGCCGTCAAAAGCGGATGTGTGCTGTTTGAATTTGTCATAGAAGAGGGAAGCTGCATGGGCTGGGCAACCCCCAGCGTCCAATGAGCTTGGATGAGCCACAGCAGAGCCAGGAGAGCCGCTGAATAATACATGGCCCGCTTCAAAGGTATGCATGGCACCACGTAGTACTTTTGTGACTCTAATTCTTGCCATTACTTGCTATGACTCAATCAGCTTCACTTATTGCTATCATTTTCAGAAGCGCGTTGCACATCTTCCTGGCCGAAATTTTGGCGGCAGGTGCTGCTGCCCATGGGTGGCCCGGAGGGCCACCTGCAGCTGCAGGCCAGGTAGATGGGGCGTAGGGGTCTGAAGTGAAGAGGTCTCACGCGGGCGCGATACTTCTGCCCTTCGGGGCGTTCACACCCACTATCCCACGGTATCATTGCAACTGCCCGCAGTCGGGATTTGCACAAAATGCCAGTTCCGGCGTGCGGCTTCTGCGAGTCTTGGGAAGACCAGTGGGACTGGGGACCACAAAACATATTGACCCTGGATCTTTCTTGGAATGGGCCAAAGGATTCGGGGCCTCGCCTGGTGCCAGGCCTTGCCATCCTCCTGCCAGGGTCTGGTGGGACTGCGGCTGTGGCCCTGCTGCTTCCTGCTGGGCGCCTGGCTGCGCCGCGCCTTTGCGCGCCAGGAGCTGCCCAGGCGGACGAAAGTGAAGCAGAGAAGCGCCGCGGGAAGGTGCGAAAGTGCTGGAAAACGCGTTGCGCGTGGCGCGTTGTCGCAGAGTTCCTTGCTGGAGATGTTCTTTGGCAAGGATCGCACTGTTCAGTCAACAGTGCTTTCTTTCAACGCCATGCATTTTCACAGTTGTTGGGACACATTTTGGTTTGGTGAGAAATCCCCACTTAACTGCTAACATTTATATGTTTGCTCCCCTTGCAGCTGCGCCAAGTTTTCGGGATGGGCCGTACTCCTCGCAGGCGCCTGCTGGAGCTGGGCAGCGGCCAGGGCGCCGGAGGCTTGCAGGCGGCGGCGCACGGCGCGGAGGCGGGGACGGACCGACGGATCGGAGGACCGGAGGGACCGGAGGGACCGGAGCGACCGGAGCGACCGGAGGACCGGAGGTTGGAGATTCCTGTTTTTTGGTTCTCTTCCTTGTTCAGTGGCACCATTTTTTATTTTTGTTTTTAATTATGGTGGCTGCAACCACTAAAGATGGTCTTCCCCAAAAAGGGTGCCCTTTTTTGAGGAACTGAGCTTCAGAGGGACACGGTGGGAGGGATGCATGCGAAAATTCTCACGAAATCAGGGGACCAGCCCTAAACTTCCCAGGTTTGGCAGGTCGCTCAGTTGGTCGGTTTCGGACTGACTTCTCTATGGGGTTACAGTTCATGGCCATAGGACACATCAATCTAGGTGTCAAGACGCAGTCAACTGGAACATTCAACTCTTACGAGGTGGCCATCCAAGCCGAGAAAAAGAGAGAGAGAGAGAGAGAGAACCCCCTGTCGCAGGCAGACGCCTTCCATATGCAGATTGGGATTTCAAAGCAAAATCCCTTCAGTTCAGTGATTTCACCCTCACCCCCAATGTTTGGCAATGCGCCTCCCGAGCTTCACCACGAGTACTGTCCGTCCGAATTCCTACCCAACAAACAGATCGAGCAATTGGATGCTGATCAATAGACATAAATTCACCAGGGGTCCTTAAAAGATACATTTTGCCCATTTGAAACATGGCTTGTTCCCCCAGAATAAACGGGACACCACCATGTACAAGGCAATGTTCAGGTGTAGAATGTAAGGATCTTTGGGGCCCTCGCGTTTTTCGGGGGAGCGAGGTGCTGCTCTCAGACTGCGAGGGCCGTCTCCTGCCGCTGCTGCGCCGCAATGCCGCGGACGTGGCGCGCCGCTGCAACGTGGCGACGCCGGACGTGCGGCGCCTGGACTTCGGGCAAGACCAGGACTCGGTGTCCCAGTTCATGGTTTGGCCTACCCCTGGGTTTTTATCACTGGCCTTTTTTGGGGGGGGGAAAAACGGACCGTCTCCTTGCGGTTTCCCTTCAATGAGACCAAACATGGTTATTTGAACAAAAGTTGCACACTCCGTGAGATGGGATTGGGCTTTGCCTTGAGTGCACACTGCTCATGCCTCCGAGCAAGTAAGCACTATCTAGTGGCTTGGGAGGCCAGAGCTCATGAACTTGCGATGGATGTGGTCCATGCCCGACACTCACAGTCGGCGGCAGCAAGGAGTCTAGCAACAACAAAAAGACGCGGAGAGCAAACTCATAGTTGCAGTCTGGCCGAGGTTTGGGAGTCGTTCTCTATCAGTCAGGATTCGTTTTCAAAGGCTTCAGGTATTTATAAGGCCAAGGTGTGAGAGGTCGCATGAACTATGTACCCTTGGCATTTTCATCTGCCAGAAGCACCATTTCTGAATAGGTGTTCCCGGTAGCTGTGTCAGAAGTGGACAGGAATAGGCCGTCACTTGACGGAACCAGTTGCTACAGGGCATGCCGCGCTTGGCTATCTATCAGGTCACACGTACGAAGCTCATGAATGTATGGGCCATAAAGTAGGGCTTGCACACATTCCAAACAGAGCTCATGTGAATTTGACGTCAGAAAACCCACCTATCACTCAGATCCTTGGAATTGATTTCACCTGCTGACGATTTCCCTGTCCTCAATTGTTTTGCTGGCAGGATTTGTCAGGCAGATGACTCAAGATTTGCTAAATGCTCACGGCTGCATCTACGTTCGCCAACTCAATTTGCACAACCGTTGGTAGGCAAGTTGGATTGAGACCTACCAGGAGGGTAGCATGGGGCTTGGCGAGCAGACAACTTCCCTGCCAGGATGTCCAGGACCTGGTCTCTGAGGGTCAATTTGACCTAGTCTCCCGGCGGCAGGGTTGAGAGGCCCACTTTTTCCCTCGATTGTGCTGGCGGGTGCATGTCAATGCTTGCTGGAGTGAGGCATAGCTTGCTTGTGATCGCAAATGCCGTAGGCAAACACCTGCACATTGTGCACAGAACCCCTTGAGCTATTCTCAGATTTGCAAATGTCTGATATCACTATATGAAATGCGTATCACCCATTGCTCAACACACGGGGAAATGAGAAGGGTTGAGCCATTGCCCCTATTTCAGAACGTGCTGAATGGATTGGCGGGGCTTGGGCTGTGAACCGGCCGCTTTTAGCTCAGGTGCTGGCTTCGGATGTGCTTTACGAGCACCGCCTGGTGCCGAAGCTGCTCCAGGCGAGATGTGCCCGATGCGACGTGACACGATGCCTCGCTGAAGTTTGCCGGGCTTGCGGAGTTGGTGTTGAGATGGCTCCGTTGCCAGGTGGGGGTGAGTCTTGGCTTCCATGCCTTTCCACCCAATCACCCAACCACCCAACCCCCCACCCAACCACCCACCAACACCAACCGCCAACACCAACCAACCACCAAACCCAACCACCAACCACCAACCCCAACCAACCACCAAACCCAACCGCCAACACCAACCAACCGCCAAACCCAACCACCAACCCCAACCAACCACCAAACCCAACCACCAACCCCAACATTTTGTTGTTGGACGGTTGCCTCCCATCGCGCCTCGCCAGGCCGCCAAAGCGCTGACGGCCGCGAGCTCCGGCAGCACGCGGCTGGTGCTGGCGCTAGAGCTGCGGCCCTGTGGAGTGAAGCTGGAGGAGCTCTGGCGCCGCGTTTGGCGCGATGCTTCCGAAGCCCAGCACGGGCGCCCTGTAAAGCTTCCGAAGCGAGGCCCCCAGACCGGGCGCCCGAAAAAAGGGAAGCCCAAAGCCCCCGAAAAAGTGAAGCCCAAAGTAGCTTTGGTGCATTTTGCCTTTGGCAAGAAGGTGGTTCTACCTGAATCTATAAACCGTTACAACCATGTTGGTAGAATCACCAGGTCAATGGGACCGTCAACCTCATTAAATCTTTGGTGCATCTTGCCAAGGGATGTTAGGACTTCAACTATTTGCCAACTAATGGGTTTTCCGAATCACACCGCTGAAAGTTGAACTTTTAGCAGGGGAACAGAAAGCAACCGAGGTAGGTTGTTCGGACCATAGCGGGTTCACAACAGGTGTACCAAAATTGCTTTTGAAGGCTCGGCCCTTGGAGTTTGTCAAGACTTGGGCAGCCGCACGCTAGAGGTGAACCAACATATTGGATGGAGGCGATTGATGTGTGTGGCCGACCAATCATGTGAGCGTTTCTTCTGTTAGTCATTCGTGTACTGTATTTGTGTGATACCGAATTTATGCATTCATCAATTTGTGCTTGAGCTTGAATGCACAAGTTTGATGCTATGCCTTTTTCGCTGAGGTCAGCAATGCCCCAGTTGCGATATGCAGTGATCCAACTATCAAACAGATGTGCTGCGATTCTTCAGGATATGGCAAACACCAACATTCATCCATGGGCAAAGTCAACCGATGCATTCGCGGTAGATGACGTTTGGTGTCTTCTCTTTGATCTCGGTTCCCGTTTTGTTGAGGCCACGCTTTGGGGGCTGGTTCAAAATGACGCCAAATTTTGAAGCCACTCATTTTGTGTGGACACCAAAACGAAAAAACACCAAATATGGACATGAAAAAAGGACGAGCCAAAAACGCAAAATGGGAAAATAGCCTGTTGGAAGCCATTTTACCGGCGTTTTGCCCGGGGCTGACCCGGGCACCCCGCCTTCCGGCGAGGAGGCCCTCGCCTCGGAGGCGGAGAAGCGGGGCTGGGCGAGCTGCGATGCCGCTCGCTCGCTCGCTCGCGCAAGCGTTCCCTTTGGTCAAAACCGTTTTGGGATCCCAGTTTGGGGGTAGGTGAATTCACCACCCATTTTAGAGCCTATTGATTTGGGTATGGGTTTGGGGTAGGTGGATTCACCTCTATAGGGGCTTATAGGGGGTCTCGGTATGGAGTCAAAATCTTAAAGCACTAGGGGACAGCAGGTTGTAGTCCATGTTTCCACTTGCCAGGGCAACCCATTTTGGGCACCTGTTTTTGGTGCACAGCCATTTGGGTGACTGGAGAAATAACAGAGAATCCCAAGAAGGCAAGAGATGGTGGGGCGGCGCCTGAAAATTGAATCCGAAAACAGAGGAGATTCCTCGAAACATGATGGATTGTTTGAGTTTCATGCCACATTCCCAGGGAGTAGCGAACCCCCTGAAGAGTTTCAGGTGCACGATTTTCCAACTTTTCCTGCTGGGTATTTGCTTGAGCAATCCCCAAATCTGCTTTTGCAGCTTAGTACTTTGGATAGGAGCACGGACAACAGACCTTCTAGTGTAATTAGTTTGTTTGGAGGATCCTCACGTCCCAGATCGAAGGTTCCTGCATGTCGACAGATGACATTCTGAAGCTGCTCTGGTGACTCACGAGTGCTGCTAGGTCAAGCAGCTTCTTGGTCGTTGGGGCACAGGCTGAATGCCGTTCCGGCCACCGAAAGAATGAATCCCCAGGACCGAACCTTCATGTATCGCTGCGCTCGTTTTTCCCCCCGAAGCGGTCAGCGCCACTGGCTGAGGCGACAGAAGAGCTGCAGCTTTGGGTCACTCCGATGCCCGAAGAGATGCAGGCGTGGAAGGAAAAGCCGTTGCTGGCCTTGAAGAACACACTTCTTCCCGCCTGTTCAGTGGCACCAACTGTTTTTCAACTGTTTAGTTGGTTCCGAACACCACTAAAGAAGGTGAACCCCAGAAAGGGTCCCCTTTGTACACTGTGGTCCGCTGAGCAACTGGGACGCTTCTTCAACACTGCCTTCTGATGTCAAGATCATTGCACCTCTTTGGACGGCATCAGTCTTGTCGTTGAGCAGCCTGATTTGGCTGTTATCGTAGCCTCGGGATTTGCTCCCTCACCATACGGACATCTCGTTTCACCCATGCGACTTCCCAGTCAGGCATCCAGCGTCTTGAGCTTGGCTAACACACGACATGTTGAGTACACATGGTTTTCATGGTCATGCTTTTACCAGCCTGCACAGCGCACCAGCTGCATGCTAGGCACAACCACATGTCCAGTTCAGGTTTACCTGGAATCTCTCACAGAGCTCCTTCAAAAGGAAATTCCTTGACATGTGAATCTGGTTCCAGGTTTCATGGTGAATCTCGGGAGTGTCTTTCTGTCTTTTTTCGAGGGAGCCCTTTTTGAGGCCATGCCTTGTTTGAGGAAAACCACAGGGACACCTTTCATTTGGGGTTCTATGCAGCACTCCATTTGGCAGTCTCCCAAGACGGCCAGCCCCCCCCAGCCAGCCCCCCCAAAGGCAAGCCCTCTTTCGGTTGGTATATCTTAAAGGAAGACCAAGATGGCTTTCCACCCTTGGATGGCTTTCCCCCACCTCCTTTTCGGTTGGTATAGTTAGAGGACTAGAAGGCGGCAAGCCATTTTGGACTCGACGCTTCGCTCCCAAAACGACGCCAGGTGCCCCCGCTGGAGCCGCGGCACCGCCTGCTGCTGCTGGGCCCCGGGCCCTTCGCGGCTTCGCCGCCGACGCCCAAAGCGGCGGCGGCGCCGGCGGCGCGGCGGCCCTGGGAGGGCGCCGTGCCCCAAAAACGCCGAAGAGGTACTGTGGATGGGCGAAATCCTCTTAGGCACCCTAAGACACCTCGCTTCCCCTGCAAAATGCCCACAAAGAATAGCTTCCCATGGTTTCAAAGTGGTGCAGGATTTCGTCCATCCACGGTAGTTCTTATTACCTTTCCACCAAAGTGAGACATCACCAAAAGAGCTGAAACGCTGGTATCAAGCTTGGGTCTCACTTTGTCTATCATCACTGCTGGCTTTGGATCGATTGTTTCGTGACCGTCAGGGATCATGATGTACTGATATGTTGATTTGCGATGCTTGACAAATTAAGAGTTCATTTATTTGTGCTGCTTTTGTTCGGCATCAGCGATGCCAGACCATGTTGAAGCCCTGAAGGAAGAAATGGATAGGCAAGAGCTTCAAGCTGTATACTTGTCAGGCTGTAAGGCATACCATAAGTGGCCTTCTTTTGGTTGCAACTAGAAGCCTTTTTGATCAGTTGGGTCATGAACAATGGGGCTGACACTAGTCAGGGGAGCCAACCAGGGTACTTCCCCAAAAGGAACCTCGACTTCCAAAGTCCTCCTGCCCACCTTCCATGATTGGTGAATCGGAGGTCAGCTGCTTTGCGATTCATGGGGGCTTGGGGGGAGGGAGGGGAGGGGGAGGGAGCCCTAAATAAGGCCTTATTAAGGGCTTAATAAGGCCTTATTTAGGGCTCCCTCCCCCTCCCCTCCCTCCCCGCCCTCCCCCCCAATCCCCATAATGCGATGGATCGCTCGGATCTCAGGCGCGGGCGAAGAGGAATGGTACTCGCGCTCCATGCAGTTCTGGGCGCAGCAGGAGACGGGTTCAGCTCCGGCTAATGATGGCTGTTTTGCAAGGGGACACCAAAAGGAGGCCAGCAATTTCTTGGTGTCCCTTTGTTTTTTGAGCTAGCGGGGTTTGCGCTCGCGACAGCTTCCAATTGCTGGCTGCATTTCGCGAAGGAGCAGCGACGTGTTGAAAATGTCAGAAGTTCTGCAAATCTCCAGGCTGCATGCTGGACCTGGCATGCGGCCAAGGATTCCCATGCTGACACAGTTCGCTTCGAGACTAGAAGGAAATCCATGAGGCTGCTGAGGCTGAGAGATGGCAGCATTGCCAGCATGACCATGAGCTTGATTTTAAAGCGCGCGGGCTACTTTGTAAGAAACCATCAAGATCCAATACCCTAAACGAAAACATGTCAAAATGGACGGACCCTAAGTGTCCACCATGGGAGGGGTGGGGTGCCGGGACGTGAGTCACAGGAGGTCTCCTGCAGCGGTGTCCTGGGCGGGCGCCCGGACACCCATCTCCCGGACCTCCACGCGTCAGAGGCCTTCCTGGACGGCGTTTTGAGGCGCGAGTTGGGGTCTGCGGCGCTGGGGCGCTGGGGCTCGGGGGAGAACACGCTACGTGTGGGCACTGGTCAATATTTACGGTCATTTGTAAGGGGATGACATGGGGCCCTGATATTGAAGGTTTGTGTTAAGTTTCAAGGGTTCTTGGCTGCAAAGCAGCTTCCAGTTGTGCAAGGCATGGGGGGGGGGCCTGTTTGGCCTCTTTTTTTGTTTTGCACGCATCCCCAGGTGCAAAGCACGTGCCTTTCTCCAGAGGAGCTCAAGATTGAATCGAATTGGCCTTGGCGAAGTAACCATATCTGATGGGATTAGTCTGGCATTTGCCGGCATCAGTTTGGTCAGATTTTTTGATTTGAAACGGGGCATTCACACCTCATCTAGCCAGTTGGCTGGCAAAGCCTTGCAAGGTCAAGAGCATGATCACTTTGGCAAAAAGAGGTGGGCTGGCCCAAACGCCCGGAGAATCCTCGAACTCAGGAAGGGTCGGGGATCCTATTGCGCTCCAGCACTGTCCATCGCTGTTTGTGGGTGAATTTCAGTTTCCAAAGCGGCACTTGGTCGCTTCCTTGGAGCTTCCTTGCTGGGTTCTGCCAAGAGTCCACTTCTTGGCGCGGCTGCTGCATCTAAGCTCACCTGGACTCTCGGAAGGTGATTCGCTCCCCGCCATGTCCTTCTTCGCTGAGATGGGCGGCAAGTCCAAGGCTGCACAGGACAAGCAGTGGGCCGTATCGGAGCAACGCATCCAGCGGTGGGTCGAGAACTTCCAGAAGGAGTGTGAGAGGCGCGCAGCTGGAGGCTATACTACCGCCACGGTACGTCTTGAGAGCACTGCAGTCCCGCAAGGGTCGCCTGGCCACATGAATCTCCAGACCTTTGCCGCAGGCGTGGCAGAGAGTCTGCGGAACCTGGGTGGGAAGGTGCAGTTGGAAGGCTGGATGACCAATTTCGACGGCAGTTTTGAGAGTAATGCAATCACAGTCTCCTGGGACTTGGCATCTTGCGCCCCTCCAGACGCCAAAGCCAAAGTCACGGGCCACGCCAGCACCTGCCCCATCTGCATGGAGGTCCGGCCAGTGGTGGCGCTGGTGCCCTGTGGGCACGTGGTCTGCGGCACGTGCAGAACGGACAAGCGCCTGCAGCAGTGCCCGCTGTGCAGGGAGCCTGTCTCCGCGACAACGAAGGGCCTTTTTCTCCAGTGACTTGCCTGAGGACATGAGTCCAATGATCAAGGGTGGATTGTTGGAAAATTCCAGTAGGCACATTGACAGATGGTCGTTGGACGGTTGCCGTCCTGCATTTTAAAGAGATTGTCAGATGTGGAACCGCTCTTCTGGCCAACAGACTGGCAGACTGGCCGAGGAGTAATTCGCGGGGCGGGGCCACCCAGCGCCCCGATTTATGCAGGACAGTGATTGAATCCATTTGAGCTTTACACACGTCGTATTTGCATGCAAGGATGTTAAAGAGGCTTGCATGCAACGACCACGACTTGTATGTGGAAAATGCGCGTTGCGGCTGTGGCACACTCCAGTGTCAGTGGCAAGGCTTGACACTCTAAACGAGCAATGCAAGGCATGCAACCTCACAGTCACAACCCACTTCGCAGGCTTGCCAATGAACTTACATGTGCGTCCAAAAGTCCGTGCATTTCATGCGCGAGCTGCAAGCGGCCCCCAATAGCAGTGCAGCAGCTAAGACTTGCAAGTGTGACCGGAGGTACCCTGTGATTACCTTGTTGTCAACATATGATTATCCGTGTTTTGCCCACATCATTGTGAGCAATCAGCGACGCCTGGCTTGCGCAGAAGGGGAGTTTGAGAATCGTTCTATCCACGACTTGGATATCCTTGTCTTGACTAGTGAAATGACCGGACATCATCAAAATGGCCAAGCAATCTACACTCCATGTTGTTGGAAACCGTATGCCTTCAAGGCCAGTGGCAATCTTACTGTGTTTTGTCTGTTTCCTGAAAACCACGGCCAATGGGGCTTTCTCCTCATGTCAGCATGAAGTGTGCCTTCAAGGCCAGCGGGTAGTGTTTCACCTGTTTCGTGAAAGGGTTTCAGGGCCAAGTGACGCGCCTTGGTCCCGCCAGCCTCGGGCGTCGGACAGTCCTTGGCCCAGGCAACGCCAGACACGGCTGCAGACGGCCCTGGACTGTGGTGCCGGGGTGGCTTGGTCCTCATTAGAGAATGAGAGAACGATACCCGCTAGTTTCCTTTGAGGGGATGGGAAGGGGATAGGTTACTCCCCCCAAATAGCAACGAAGGGGTTTCCTTCAAGAGGTCCTGACAACATGATTGCTCAATTCTTGGTTTGGTGGGCAACCAGGGGGATCGATTGGTTCATTCCCCAAAACATCGAATTTGTTTGGGGGCCATGATTTTGTTTGTTTCTGGGGGTTGTCAAAGTCAGCAACTGGAATTGTGTCACTACCACTTGAAACTTGGGTTGTGTCCCTGTAGGGCTCCTTAAAAGATACATTTTGCCCAATTGAAACATGGCTTTTTCCACCAAAATAAAGGGAAACGACCATTTACAAGCCAATGTTCAGGTGTTTTTCATGTCAGGATCCCTGATCTAGCCCACCATCAAGGACTTGGGGTGACTTTGACGGCAAAGTAGTGAGGCCGCTGCGCCCAGGTGGGGCGCCTCGCGGAGGCGCTGCTTTTGCCGAGAGTGGAGACGGTGGACCTGCTGGAGCCGAGCGGCGCCTTGCTGGAGGCAAGCGGCGGGTGGGGAGGGGTGCACACCTCATGCTGACATGAGGAGCCAACCCCATTGGCCGTGATTTGTCAGGAAACAGACGAAACACAGTTTGATTGCCACTGTTTGGCCCGTGATGATGTCCGGTCAATTCACTGGTTGGAAGGGGGACAAAAGGGACCCCGCCAAGTTTTGTCAGGGTGCCTGAAAAGCAGGGAACCAAAGGGACACCACCCATTTAGGAGTTGTTCATCTTGAGCCCAACCCACGAAGTTGGGGGTTCGAGGGATTTAGAGAGCAGAGCAGAAGTGCCATGAGAGTCTGACAGGCGGCGCGGCATTTGCCGGCAAGGCACTTCTTGCAGCGGCCACTGCAGAGCCGAGAGGCCTGGTGCAATTTGTTTCCACTTTTGGGCTGTCGTAAATGGCACCACGCCACGCCACAAAAATGGTTTTTGGTATTCGCATTGGTTTCTCGTCGAAAACTTTGTAAAGGTACCCTTCACGACACCGCTTCTTGCTGGTTCGACCTGACCAAATGCGAAAGGATCCTGCCATGAAGACTCTGGGAGTTGCAGCGGCCACGTGTGGGAGTGTTTTGTACAATCACTTGATTGATCATCAACGATCGTACTGGGGTGAACCGTCCTTGCCCTGGATTGAGGCTCCAAACAGATCAACGTCTACGGGTACAAAATGGGTTTGGTTCCCTTTCCCTTCTCCAAGGATCAACTAATGATTCTCTACTCTTGCGCCGACCGCGTTTTGGGAGCAACCCTGCCTGAACTGTAGACTCAATTCAGGGACCGCAAACGGGTTCTAACAAACGGATGCCCGCTTGCACCAACGGACAAGCATGTCATGTGTGTAGCATGCATTTGGAACCCATGTCTTAGAACCCATGCAACGGGTCACCCAATCATGCCGTCGCCAGAAGCTGCCAGACAGCTACGACCTCATTTGGGTGCAGCCACCTGGCACCCGAGTTCTGCTAGGCATGTGCACGGTGACAGAATTCCTGCAAAATGAAAATGCCGGCTGTTCCGCAAAAAAGAAGAGTTTGTTCAAGCTGATTGGAGGATCCCCATTGAAAAGCAGAGGATGTTTCTCCATAAGTCCACGCAAATCCGTTTGTGTGCGTCCTGTTTCTGGCCTTTTCTGGCGCTTAGGTGGGTCCTGCTGTACCTCACGGACGCGGACCTGGTGGCGGTGCTCCGGAGGCTGCGGAAAGCGCTGCGCCCGGGAGGGTGTCTCGTGGTCAAGGAGAACGTGCTGCTGAACCGGTCCGCGGGGACACTCGGCCCAGCTGGGTGTCGTTTTGGGCATCCGTTTTAAGGGAGAAAACGACAGGAAGCCCACCAGTTGGGGAGGCCCCACTGCTAGGTGTGACACTTCCCTGGCCAAATTGTGGCAGCCTCATGAAGGGGGTTGCGCTTCACCCATTGCAAGGATCCCAGACTTACCTTTGTACGTATAGATTTGCAAAGAGATTAGTTTTGGGTGTGGTGATCATCGGGCAAGGGCACAAGGGGCCCCATTTCCCATCTCATGCAAAGCATGTTTGCAGCTTGCTTTTTGCCAGGTACTTTTTCAATTGTGTGACATAGATCACTTGTGTCGTGTTTGTGATCACTGAGTATCATGCCCAGATGTTCTTTGTGTTTTTGCTGCTATCTCTACTGTTTGCGCTCTTTGTGTGCACTTTGATTCCTCTCGGACTATCCGTATGTTTCGTCCCCCTGTTGTGTTGCTCATGATTCTACATGATCATTGGATCCTCTTGGTCGTTCCGCCTTCTTTTGGATTCGATTAATGTCATGCGTTCTTCAATGTATTGCCTTGTTGTTTGATCGTGGCATTCGCACCCTTGCTCCATGTGTCTTTAAAGGTGGCTTGGTTTGATGGTGGTTTGGCTGTTGGGCTTCAATGCATTGACAGTGCCACTATGAGCAGCCACCAGTTCAATGCGGCAATCACAGATTCGGCAGATCATTTTAAAGAGACTCTGCCGATACACTATGCAACATTGCTCCTGAATTGAGGATCCAACCCTTTGCAGGGGCCCACCCAAAAGCTCTGGCCCCCTGCTTTTCCTTCCTTTCTTTGTTCGAGGCAAAACCATTCTTCCTCCACCAAAAGCCCAACAAAAGCAACCAACAGCAAAAACAACCCACTCGTTTTGTTTCTTGTTCCTCCACCAACAGCCCAACAACAAAATACAAGAACGAAATCCACCCACTCCTTTTGTTCTGTTTCCAAGCAAAGCAACCGCTCGTCTTTTGTCTTCCAACCCAGGCTGGTGCACGAGCGCGACAGCTCCCTGACCCGCACGGACGGCCACTTCCGGCGCCTCTTCGCGGAGGCGCAGCTGACGCTCCGCTGCTCGGCGGCCCAGGAGCCGTGGCCCTCGGAGCTGCTGCCGGCGCCTCGGCGCGGATGGCAGGGCGCGGGGGCCGTTTTGGGGGGTCGGTTGAAAGGGAAACCAGGAAGCTACGCATTTGTTTCTTTTTTTTTTAGACCACAGGGACACCACGCGTGTTTTTCCTTTTGTTGTGGGCGGGGGGGGGGGGCGTCAGGAATGTGCAGAAAACATGCCTAGTTGTATATGCGTGGCAAGTGTCATTTCGAAAATACTCTGGGTTGGTGACGGTTGGTCGGCTCCAGGTGATGATGTACGCTCTGGAGTGACACCGAAGTTGAGCGTGGCGCGCTTCAACAAAAAAAAGCTGGTGCCTTTGGCACATGCTGGCGCCTTGGCTCCCGAAAGGCAGTTCTCGGTGGATTGTGTCGTGCGGGGGTGTACCAGCTTCATTCTAGTTTTGAGCAGCAACAGTTTTTGTCTGAAACCAATGGCGTTGCGCTGGTCATCCCTTCCAGTGAGTTCTCTTCGACCTTCAGGAAGGATCGCAGAACAGTGCATGCATCTCAAAACGCTACTCTTGCTCTTGATTCTTCATGACCCGAAAGTACGGCCGGTGCATTGAACAAATGCTAAGGGCATGGGATGTCCTGAAAGGCAGCTCCTCCGGTTCACAGGTCTTCTCAATTTCTCCTGTCCCCCCCTCCCCCTCCCCCGAGGTGGTGCACTTCCCACCTCGCACGTCATGGCGTCGGACTAACTGGGTGCTGAGCTCGGCCACCGGCAACGCCTGGAACGCGGCCGAGTTCAAGGAGGCAGCTCGGTGGTGGTGTTTCCTCAGCAGGCTGCAACAGAAGAACCACGTGAAGGGGCGTCTTGCCTGCAAAGCGGCATGACCTTTACCAAAGATGGCGGGCAAGCGGAGCGGGTACCATTTTCCCGTCTCACCCACAGGGTTGCTTCAAATCCGGTTCCGATCTTCTTGGACACGCAGCCCCTGAGGAGCAAGTCGCGGCTCCCTTCGCGACGCGTAGTCTCAGCGCCTGCTGGCGGCACGCGAATCCAAGGAGAAAAGTGGAGGGGCTGCCCAGGGGGAGTGCTGAGGCATCAACAGTCTGATGCTCTTGCTTCAAGGATCCAGTGAGGTTGGAGCTCTGATCAGCTTTGGACCTGCAGGACGCATTGGCACCATGCCATTGCTCATCTTGCGGTCCACGCCTGGGCTCTAAGAGTCTAAGACTGGGAAACGATCGGCTGACATGGGGACCTGGATCACTTTTTCCAGATCAAATGCCTGCCAGCAGGCAGGGCGGATGGTGATGCCAGGTCGGCTCTCCTTCGGCAGCTCTCAGACCCCCTGGCAGTTTGCACAGGCGCGGCTTGTTGGATAGGGGACCCGCGAAGAGCTGGTTGGATGGCTCCCGCGAGCAGCTGGCAGCTGGCAACGCACGGGCACCACATGTTCCTTCACAGAAGCCAGGGGTGCTGACCCAGTTTTTGCAAGCCTATGCCCTTTGGGTCAACAAGAAGCACTCGCGTAGCAACCGTCTGGGCTCCCTCTCCTAAGCGGCAGGTACTTTACAGGGATGGCTAAAATGTTTGAGGCTCTGCGCCATCAAGCTGTTGGATTTACTTTCATCTCTGAACGTGCAATGCAAATTGGACGCCTTTAGGCTATCGCATGGATCCCCGAATTGCAACTACACCTAGACTAGAATGTGCTTTGCGACGTGTTGCTAACAGGCCGTGGCATGTTTGGTTAGTCGTTCTTTGCAGTTCAGTTGGATTTTTCTTGAAGGTTTTTTTTTTCAACGACACTACTTCCGAGACGCTTAGGTCGAACATAATGCCTACGTCAACCATATCAGTCAACATACGCAGACTTGTACCCTGTTATTCCAAAATTGGATACAGCCACCCAAGGAAACACCGCGCCAGCACATAGCAAACACATGGTATTGCAACATATTGCAACATTGCAGTGCCATGTGGCAACAATTTGGAATGTTATGACTGAACACATGGCTTCAATAAATCCAACATGCACACAGAACATGAGCTCGCTGCATATGCTACTCCAAATGGCAGTTCCTGTATGAAACAATCAGTAATTTAGGTAAGACACTATATGTCTGGAAGCTATATCATCAATATGACTATGTGATCCACTTTGATCTTGCAATGTTGCAGCAAGTTCAGAGTCGACTACACACTTGCCATTAGAAATGACATGACATCGTGCTAAACATGTACTATATGATTCCCGAGGGGCCAAACTGTTAGCTACAAAGACGTCCGCTTTAGCGGCTTTTGTGCTGTTTGTGTCTGAGGCAGGTGTGCTTTAGAGGTAACACACAGCAATACCTGCCTTGCAGGTTGTGGGCACAGTGGAGAGCACAAGTAAAACGGACACTTAAAAGCAGTGCGTGCAATATGTCATTGAACTTGTTCAGCTTGCAAGAACCCTTTGAGGTTTCGTTGACAGTGAGGGATATGTCGAACTGAAACAGAATGGGTAACAGACTTATGATGCTTGTTCTGTAAATACAGGTAAAGAAAGATTCCTAAGAAGAGCATTGAACATGCCGCCAGATGAGGTGGCTCTCAATTCTGTACTCGCCAGCGAACCCATGTTTACCAGGGAAGTGGGCTTGGGTCGGGTGAGGCGGGGGGTGGGAGGAAATCAAAAGCGTATGGCCACCATTCACATGGGCAACTGCCATTTTTTGAAAATTGCGATTTCGGATAAGATGCTTGTGAACAAGCGTGACAGTCTCCGCTACTGTGTGAACTTCCTGCAACTTTTTCCTGGGGTACCTTTCTTGGATTCAGCGAGGTCAGCAAAGGGGAAACAGCTTAGAAGGAGGTGTTCATGCTGTTCGCAATTGTTTCGAAATGGTGTTTTCTTTGTCCAAGAGTGGGTCCGTGCTTGGCTGTCAGGGATGAGCAAATGAACAGGAAACACAAATGATCACTTTTCTGGAAACCAAGGTACCGCGCATGAGGAAATGGGAGGTATCCAGGTATCGAACTGCCAGATACATTTCCTGTGATCAAACGGGTGCCTTTGCCACTTGGGAGCGCTGCCTCGGTTAGGCTCGGTGCCCAGCTGGTGCACCAAGCTGGCAGGCGGGGGAGTCTGGAGAGGGTGCTTTTTCTCCTTTGGAACTAAAAGGGATGGACACCAAGTGACTAAGTCTAGAAACCCTGCAAGGTGTTCCATAGGTGTTCCCCGTCACAAACATGGTCACAAGTTAAACCCAGGAGATTCAACTTTGAAGATGTGCGTCACGCGACGTGATCTACAGGGGCAGTGGGGGCTGACACAAGCTTGGCTTTAGTGGTGGTTCGAGCGCCCATCCCTTGAAGGCTTCAGCATCTAAGAGGCTGGTCATGGTGAGACACATCCGAATTCCAAGCGGTTGGACTTGGTGGACATCAGGCACCATGGGGATCTATTTATTCAACCGCGCTTGAGGGTTTTCCAACCACTCGCATGTACATGTACTGTACTGCGTTGCCAGAAGAGCATGAAACAGGGAGATGGCAGGCTCGGGAAGATGCGTGCTTTGCCAACAGATGCTTTCTGTCCACAACGCCTTGCGCACAAATCTCTTGAGTTTGTAGGTCGGACAAGATATCTTGGCAAGCCACTTGAACCTACCGGTGTGAAACAGGCGAGTTGGGATCGGCACTTTCGACTTCGTCCCCTCTCATGGCGCACAATGATTTGCTAGTCTGAATGTGGATGCCCATGCCACGCACTTGTCAGAGTGCGTGCAACATTTGTTTGACCTTATCCGCTGCAGCGCAGCTGCAGGCCCCGTTTGCGCGCCAAGTGAAAGTTGTCAATCGGTTGGTGTGAAGGAGGCCCACGTTGATGAGAAGCTTGAGGGAAGGGAATGCCAAGGTGATCCTCTCAGGCAGCATTCAAGCTGCCCTGGAATTTTGATTTTTGTGAGTCTGGTTGGACGACTCCTTCACCAGTCCGGAGCTTTGAAATGAAGGCAAGTACATGGCTGGCCAAATTTCGGCCAGCTGTGCACGTTTTTTTGCCAGGAGCTTGCCGCTTCCTCTTCCCCTTCCACGTGCGGAGGACTCGAGAACTCCAGTTTCGCGTGGTCAGCTCTTGGCCCCTTGTCACTGGTGGGACCTGGCTTTTCCAACCCCGAAGTGGTTGGTGGACTCCAATTTTCCCTTTTTGGGTGATGGGCCCAAGACCGAGCTGGGGGGTCGACAAGAAGGAACCGGTCTCTTGGGAGCACCTGCAAGTGGATCAGATATGTCACCTATGCTAGAGGTCCAGCCTCGGGCCTTTCCACGCCCCGCCCTTTATTCGGCGCACTATGCAAGCCCAGCAAGGTATGGTTTCTCGTGCCAATCGAAGCAAGGAGCAGAAGACCGTGGTTGCAAGGGCCGCATCCCAGAAAGCTGTTGCACATGTTCCAGAATTTCTAGAATGGGAGGGCTGGGATGTGCTGACAATCCAGGATTCTTCATCACAGCTGCAACTTGGGCTTGGGCCGTGCTCTTCACCACGTGCAGCAGCGTGCGGTGGCCGGGAACCCAGGCTCTCCAAGCCGATTGCTCAGTCCTTCGGCCTCCCTTTGAAGGCTTCGCAGCCTTTCGTTTGGGTTCTTGTGAGCGGGTTGGATCGAAATGGGCAGTTCGGCTGAACATGGTGGCGTAGACTAGCCTGTTTTTTTTGGTGGCAGGTTGTTTGCATCCCCCCTCGCAGCAATTAAGGCGACACAATCAACTTGCTCATCGTTTGAGGCAGCTGTTTCTTTCTTATTCGGATGCTGGGGCTTGCTTCCCCCAAGCCTATGCAACTGCTACCACTCATCAAGCCAAGAACACATAGAGGTCATCATGTAGAATCAGTCATCCTATACGAATCGGCACGAAGCTTTGCTTTGCTGGAAACCAGTGTGACTCCATGAATGCTGCCTTTGGTCAAAGAGTCAAACTCAACGAAAACCACACATATCACATACCTGCAGTTTGATTTCCCAAACTCCTGGTTCATTTCACACTTGACAAAGTTGTCGGGTCAGGCAAGAAGTCGAGACTGGATGACGGATACAGCCATGGCCCGCGTCTGAAGAAAGAAATGTGTTTACTGGTTTCTTTGCTTTCTGCCACAACAAAAGTGCTTCAAGCCATCGTCTTGTCTTCAACACGCGGAGCCAAGAGGAGTTTGAGGTTAGTTGGAGGCACGGGAGAATAATTACGACTGTCTAGGAGTTTGCAAATTTGCATATCAACAGGGCGTATTCATTCTGCCTTGTTTGTTTGCATTGCAATGGATCCAACACGTTGGTTGTTC